AAGGCCAGGCCATGTAATGCCGTTCAGAAGGGCCTCCAAAGGACGCCCTCTTTTTTGTTCAGATGTAAGGTTTTGGATGGAATTCATGTAGGATCAATGAGTTAATGGACGCTTCGTAAACAGAACGGTAGCTACCGCCGAATTTAGTACCGATCGAACTGACAAATCTGCTTCGCTTTGCTGGCTAATTTACCTGTGTCTATTCCTGTTAATGACGCAAAGAGTTATTCTGATGTCAATGTCTGTTCACAAAAATTTGTTCTTGTGTCTGGGCAACTAATTGGTGGTTTTAAATGAAATCCGGGTAGCTTACAGAGGCCCTGTTTTCAAGAAATCACCCAATTAAGAGGTTGATTATCTAATCCGGAAAGATGTTGATGTTTGAAGTTCAAACTTCCACAAGAAACTGAATTCGACGTCCTAGTGTTTTGAAGTGAAATAGGGTGCATCAGTTCCAGAACCATCAATTATTGGCCCGTAAAACTTAAATCCCATGGGACATCCGCGTCCAAACGTTGAGCGCTGAAGGGAGCGGACCCTCCGCCGATACATTAAGATTTTGGGAGAAGTGACTGCGATCAAGTTTTACCAGCATTTCTTATCTGATGACGTACATAATCTATTTCTTGAACGACACCAAGTTCAAGAGTTGTATTGAAGGGCGCGGAAGCGCCTCAAACACTGACCAAAGTTTTCAGGTTTCTAAACGAACGAGTCCTATATCGGATGGACTTGTCACTAGACATGAAGCAAATATAACGTAGTCCGTTCTACAAATCAAAAGGTCTCTGTGTGATCACTCAGTAATTCAATAAATTTAATCCTCATGTGTGTGCACTTTGTCGAGTCAAGTAGACCTAGAGTAGCCTCGACTTTTATCGGGTGTTTGGACATTTGTCATCAAAATCTCCGACTTTTTCGTTCTCTCTATAAACATGCCTTATCAAGGGGGTGAAACCCGAACCATAGTTCCACAAATTGTGCGCTGTCCCCCCTTCCCATAGTTCACTAGCGCTATAATTTATTTTGATGTTGATTGTTACGTTTATTTCGGCTGTGTACATTTTTTCCACTATGCTTGAGATTTCACGGACGTCATCAATTCATTTCACTCCGAAGATTTTTTAATCGCGCATGCACAGTCCAAGTCACGGTTGCGGACCGTGCTATGTGAACCAGGAGACGAAGTCGAATTAGAGAATGAAGAAAAATAGTTTCTCCTCATTGATTAACTGAGCTGTTAATGCCAAAACCTCGTGGACCCCATAAACTAGTCGGGCTAAGTACAGTTGCGCATTTACGGTATCCTTACCAGGTTACGGTATGCATATGTGATATCATCTTTTGATGGTAACTCGGTTTGACGTATGGGGCTGGCAAAACAATCTGCCTCTAGGTATGACATTCACATGATCTAGGTAACGTACATCTAAACCAGGTCTACAATGGAGCAAAAGAGAATTGTTCTTCCGTCTTCCTCACGACACATGCGCAATTCTTCTTACTCACCGGTGCTCAGATGTGAGCGTCCTCCTTGACCACTCATGACTCTGCACTGCCTTTTTGCGAATACGACTCCGTACTAGCAAGCTATCGTGGTGATACTGCCAAGTGTGACCCAACTGAGGGAAGATTTAGCGCCCATTTCGTTCGTCATGCAGCTTTATAGGAGATCTGCTGAGACCGAGTGTGCTTTCGCAACCTGCTGGTCTTACAGTCGTTTCCATGATACAACAACTCTTAAGATAAGTTACTCTATGTTCTCTCGAATTTTTCCTCGGAGTTAGCGGATTGATACGACCCTGTATTTGAAGGCGAGATGGCTCAGTGGTTAGGGCGCAAATTTACTGACCAGAAGGTGCGTGGTCCGAACCCAACCTCTGCCTCTCGACTTCCCCTTTCTAGGTTTGGGCAATTTAGCAGTATCCCAGCCCTCGCGCTTCTTTCGGGTGACATAACAGCTAGACACTGAAGGATTCGGCGGCTGAGGTTCTACTTTCCTTCGGGCATTTTCTGAAAATTATATTTCCATTTTCATGATTTACTAGGCAAAAATGGCTTATCCACACCGTGGGTACACGTATAGACTCCATTGGTTTTCTAATCTGCTCTTTTAATTCTAAAGGAGACAATTGAAGAAATGGACCATGACCATGACGGATACATCAGCCAGAAGGAATATATAGGTTAGTTCTTTTTCTTTGGTTTTCGGGTTAGTCCAGAATAGACCGCAGCCCTAAATGTTTGTTGTTTTTAAGCAGTTCATTTGGTATTCTGCCGAAGAAAATTTCTGTCATTATCCTACCGAAGAAAAAAACCGTTGTCCGTAGTTTAGTCTCCTGGTTTTCCAGTACTGTAGTTTATCTGGCAGTTAGGCGCTCAGAGGTCGCCACGTATGATTGGTCGTTCCGATTGAGCGGTTTTGCCTGATCTCTCTGCAATTCATATTACAGAGATTCCCCCTTAGAAGGACAACCAATGGACCAGCCGAAGTAATCTGTGTGATTGACTCAGTCTAAAAGGGTTACGACCTCCATGGCCGTATAAATTACAAGTGAAGGAAACTGTCCTGTTGTGTGTGGAGTTTTCCTTGGATTTTTCTTGACATAGCGCTACTTATAAAGTTGATGAAAGTGTTGACTGCTCACTACCGGTTTTGTCCTTTTCGAAGCTCATCAAGTGGGCATGATACCAGAGTTTCCTATTTTCTAGTTGAACACGTAAGGTGTCTTTCCATCAACTCTGTAAATTTTCTCTCTGGAAAGCTACTTTCATGTGTTACATATCGCTCCAATTCAACCAGGGGATTGCCTCTGTTCAGAGCATTCGGTTGATGACTACCACAAACGAGAGATTCAGCTGAAAATGACTGTCACCGTTATAGCCGTTGAGATAGAAGCCTTAACCCACTGTTCACCGCGTTGTGAGTTCTGTGGTTAGTAATCCTCTCTCAATTGCTAGTGACTTTCATACAGCCGAATTCAGGGCAGACTGTCTTCAGTTAAATTCAGTGAGGCTTGTTCTGGTGGATGCTAACGCGAACTAACCGATCGTGCCATCGCCTCTATTGTTTGGCTGCATCGCTCTTGGTACATGGTTTATAGCTGATAGACTAATGGGATTATTTCAGGTTGGAAAACGTATGTTTATTTTACTACTCATTACTACCGGTTTTTAATTCCGTTGGCCCCATGTCTGGTGAACCCGACTTTCTTTTTCGAGTTCATTATAATAGCTTTCCTCCAGTCAGAAAAGTTAATTGTAAGAATGCTCCAGTTGATGGGTGGGGTCAAAACTTGACTGCGATTATGGTGTTGGTTGTAGCACGCTGGCGTGAGGCTCTTTCTATGGATTGCTAACTTGGATCACTACTATTCAAACAATTTATAATCCCATACTTGTCACCACCCCTTTGCGTATCGAGGCTGCTTCTGCGTCCATAGCGTGGAAAGTTCTGGTTAGAAGTGATTGGCAAGCAAAACTGTCAGAACACAATTAGTAATACACTTCAAGGGCCTTTTCCACCTAAACAATTGGAGGAGAAACTCCGATTTACCTAGTGTTTCTGCAGCTTGAACATGTGTGATGTTTTATGGTGTTTTGCATAGGTGTAAGGTAAGTAATATTGTTACTTTTGGAACAGCAGTTGTGCAGACCATCAAGATCGGCGTTGGGGCGGCAGCCTGTTCGAAAGCGTCCACTTTGGGTGAAAACAGTAATCTACAATCTTATCCAATCGGCTTTGCCTTGTAACTACCACAACCCAAAGGATATGCAAGGTCTGAGTTACAGCCATGCTGATGCTCAAAGTTTTCTGTGTAGATTCGAAGCATGTCTCCGACCGAAAGTTTTCGCGGTCATCATCATCATCATCAACGACAGCATGACATCAGTGCTCAACACCAATGCTTCACTGCCGTACAGCCATGACTTATTTGAAAGCCTTAT